CCTCCCAAGTAGCTAGGATTACAGGCTTCTGCCACCACACCCGGCTAATTTTTGTATTTTTAGTAGAGATGGAGTTTCACCATGTTGGCCAGGCTGGTCTCAAGCTCCTGACGTTAAATATTCCACCTGCCTTGGCCTCCCAAAGTGTTGGGATTACGGGCCCGAGCCACTGTGTCCAGCCAATACTTTGGCTTTTAACCATAGCATTTAGTCTAATGCATTTAATGAATTTACTGCTATATTCATCTTTTTTTTTTAAGTCTCACTCTGTTGCCCAGACTGGAGTACAGTGGCGTGATCATGACTCACTGCAGCCTCCGCCTCCCAGATTCAAGTGATTCTCGTGTCTCAGCCTTCCTAGTAGCTGGGATTATAGGTGTGTGCCACCACACCTGGCTAATTTTTGCATTTTTAGTAGAAATAAGGTTTTATCATGTTGGCCAGGCTGGTCTCAAACTCCAGACCTCAGGTGACCCACCTGCCTCAGCCTCCCAAAGTGCTGGGATTACAGGCGTGAGCCACTATGCCCGGCCCATTTTTCCCACTATACCAGTGTGAAAGTTAAATTCTCTTTTCCTATTAGTATTATTTTAGTGATCTCCCTAGAAATTACCACATGCATTCTTCACTTACCAAAGTGTCATGCTAATAAATACCTTTACAGGAAGGATAGAGTTTCCTGAGATGGAGGCAGGAAGAGAAAACATTTCAAGCTAAATGAACAGGGAAGCAAGCAGATGAACAGGGGAGATTTAATTCTTTTTTGAGTCAGAGTGAGGCTAGAGCAAGATGAGTGAGCTGGGGGTGGGTGGTGTAAAGCCATCCAGGAAGGATGTCTTGGTCATGAAAAAGATCTTTGAGAAGAACAAGAATAACTCCTCCTTAAACCAGGAAGAACACTGATTTTCCTGAGGCTTCCCAGGAAGCAGTGGCAGAGCTTGGTCTAAAGCTGGATGTCTTTAGCAGTCTGTGTCCCTGCCTCTATACCTACCCCAGCCATGCTTACTTTGTCTCCTTTCTCTTCCTCAATCTCTGCTTACCTGTCTAAATACTGCCCATTCTTCAGAACCCAGTTCTATTAAATCAATGCAACGAATATTTTTTCTTTTTCTTTTTGTATTTTTATTTTTAATTTGTATTTATTTATTTTTTTGAGGTGGAGTCTCATTCTATCGCCCAGGCTGGAGTGCAGTGGCGCAACCTTGGCTCACTGCAACCTCTGCCTCCTGGGTTCAAGCGATTCTCCTGCCTTAGCCTCCCAAGTAGCTGGGATTACAGGCACCCGCCACCAGGCCTGGCTAAATTTTGTATTTTTAGTAGAGATGTGGTTTTGCCATGTTGACCAGGCTGGTCTCGAACTCCTGACCTCAGGTGATCTGCTCACCTCAGCCTCCCAAAGTGCTGGGATTACAGGCGTGAGCCACGGCATCTGGCCCAAGAACTCCTTTTATTTCTTTTATCTTCCCTCATGTAAATCAAGGTAGACAAGGTCTTTCAAATTGACAGTGAAATAAAGAGATTCAGAGAGGGTCCATGACAGCCAAGGTCAGACAATACAGAAAAAGCTCAGGACAAGTTCAGACTGTAGCTGACATGTCTAATCATAATGACCATCATGTATTGAGTACCTTCTACATGCCTGGCACACTGCTAAATTACCTTTAATACAACAACCCTATGATGTGGATGTTCCTTTTTTTTTTTTTTTTTTTTTTGAGACAGGGTCTTGCTCTGTCACTCAGGCTATTGTGGAGTGGTATGATCTCAGTTGACTGCAACCTCTGTCTCCAGAGTTCAAGCAATCCTCCCACCTCAGTTTCCTGAGTAGCTGGGAGTACAAGTATGTGCCACCACACGCGGCTAATTTTTTGTATCTTTTGGTAGAGACGGATTCACCATGTTGCCTAGGCTGGTCTTGAATTCCTGGGCTCAAGTGATCCTCCTGCCTTGGTCTCCTAAATTGCTGTAAACCACCACACCCAGTGTGGATATTCCTAAATCAGTTTTACAGGCTGGGCACAGTGGCTTATGCCTGTAATACCAGCACTTTGGGAGGCCAAGGAAGGAGGATCGCTTGAGCCTATGAGTTCAAGAACAGCCTAGACAAGACAGTGAAGACAGTGAGACCTTTTTTTTTTTTTGAGACACAGTCTTGCTCTGTCGCAGCGGTGCGATCTCGGCTCACTGTAACCTCTGTCTCCTGGGTTCAGGTGATTCTCCTGCCTCAGCCTCCCGAGTAGCTGGGACTACAGGCACACACCACCACGTCCAGCTAATTTTTATATTTTTAGTAGAGACAGGGTTTCATCATGTTGGCCAGGATGGACTCAATCTCTTGACCTTGTGATCCACCCACCTTGGCCTCCCAAAATGCTGGGATTACAGGCCTGAGCCACTGTGCGCGGCAAGAGCTTGTTTTAAATAAATAAAATCATTTTAAAGACAAGGAAACAGAGGCTCAGGGCTGTATGGTGAATTGCCCATATTTCCCAAATCACCAGAAAATTAAAGAATTAATCTAAATTAGAGCACCTCAAGGTTTGGGCATTGGGGGTAGTCTAGAGGCAGGAAAAGGGGACCCAGCTCAGGGAATGGTACTTAGGGCCAAGAGAACAGACAAGGTGTCAAGAAAGGGAACAATGGCCGGGAGCAGACACCCCTGGTTGGAGCTAGAGGAAGAGGATGACGTGAAACCCCAAGGCAGAAAACCTGAATCTAGTTGCCAAAATTGGAGGGAGGTGGTTCTTTTTGTAAAGTTTTACTAGTCCATTTGTCCTGGCACCTTAAAGAACAGGATAGGGGAGAATTCAAAATCAAGAAAAGTAGTTTTTAGAATAAGACACTCTGAGTGTGCACTCTCTCCAGACTTCAGAGCCCCTCAGAGTGTCTGAGGTATCTCTGGGTCCTCCAGCATTGCTCCACATGAGGCCTGTCAAAGAGAGGGCCTAGGCTGGGTGAATGAACCAAAGTGAACGCACGAAAAAGAGCTCTGGCAAATTAACCACCAAATGCTAAGTGGCATTAACAGCATATAGTGGATTATGGGAATTATCTCAGGTACCAGACTTGAGTCCTGGTTCTAGCATTTATTAGCTGTGTAAGTAGGTAACTTGGTTTCCCTGTTTTCCATTGGTAAAATGAGGATATTAAATCGTATCTACCGGCGGGGGCCCTCACCTGTAATCCCAGCACTTTGGGAGGCCAAGGCGGGTGGATCACCTGAGGTCAGGAATTTGTGACCAGCCTGACCAATGTGGTGAAACCCCGTGTCTACTAAAAGTACAAAAATTAGCTGGGCATGGTGGTGCCGCCTGTAGTCCCAGCTACCTGGGAGGCTGAGATAGGAGAATCGCTTGAACCCGGGAGGTGGAGGTTGCAGTGAGCCGAGATTGTGGCACTGCACTCCAGCCTGGGTGACAGAGTGAGACTCTGTCTCAAAAAAAAAAAAAAGAAAAAGACAAGACCAGGCACGGTGGCTAACGCCTGTAATTCCAACACTCGGAAGCCGAGGTGGGGGCAGATCACGAGGTCAGGTCACCAGCCTGGCCAAGAAGGCAAAACCCCATCTCTACTAAAAACTACAAAAATTAGCCGGGCGCGGTAGCAGGCGCCTGTAATCCCAGCTACTCGGGAGGCTGAGGCAGGAGAATCGCTTGAACCCTGGAGGCGGAGGATGCGGTGAGCCGAGATCGTATCTATTTTCACAGGTTTGTTTTTTGTTGTTGTTGTTGTTGTTTTAGACGGAGTTTCGCTCTTGTCGCCCAGGCTTGAGTGCAGTGGCGCGATCTCGGCTCCCTGAAACCTCCGCCTCCCGGGTTCAGGTTCAAGCGATTCTCCTGCCTCACCCTCCCAAGTAGCTGGGATTACAGGCGCCCGCCACCGCGCCCGGCTAATTTTTGTATTTTCAGTAGAGACGGGGTTTCGCCATGTTGGCCAGGCTGGTGTCAAACCCCTGACCCTAGGTGATCCGCCCGCCTCGGCCTCCTAAAGTGCTGGGATTACAGGCGTGAGCCACCCGGCCCTCACAGGGGTTTTATGAGGATTAAATAAATGAGATAACATAAAAAGTAAGAGTGCCTGGGACATACTGCGTGCTCAGAATGTGTTATTGCTAAGGATTTAAGTGGAAAAGTGCGATGTTAGCTGTGACTAGCTTAGAGGTCCTCCACCCGCTGCAGATGCTCTGACTACCCCCGTGCCCTTGCAGGAGAGATGCTTGGTCTCTTCACCCTCCTTTCCCGTTGGGGTAGATGGTCTTTGCAAAGGGAGCCAGGGGTCCCCCTCAAGTTCTTTTATGGGTCAGTCATGGTCAGGGTAGGGAGGGAACTCTGGCAGTTGGTTTTTGGGGATCAGTCCTCTCATTGTGGAGAGACCTAAGGCTGGTGGCCGGAGATCCTCTTTCTGCGCTGTACACAGGACAGGGCGCCCTCTCCTGAACAAAGGCGGGAACAGCACTAGGCCAGACTTTCTGGGATGTGCCTTACCGGCTCTCATTGCCTGCAAAGGTGCTATGACCATTGCTGAAATGTCCCCAACCATCCTGGCGAGCAAAGTTTGGGGGAGGGGCGCTAAGGCTGGGAGGAAACTGGCTTAATGTTTCAGAAGGGCGAGGCTGGATTATTCGGTTAGAATGGAGGTGCGGGGCAGGAGAGACGGGCGGATGAGAAAGAAATCCGGCCCCTGTTGAATTAATTTTGTGTTCTTTCAACAGGTGATGGAACGCAGCTGAGCGGTAAGGCGACAAGGTGGCTTATCTAACATGCTAAACTCAGGTATCCAGAGCTCTTACGGCTGCCCGCACGCAGCCGAAATTAGTGGGGGCAGTCCCGGGCTATAAAGCATAGTTTGAGGATACACCAGATTGAGGGGCAGAGCCACGGGTCGGGGTCTCCAGAAGCGGGGAGGAGCCACCGGAGGATCTGGGCGCAGTTTCCTCTCTAAGTTCCGCCCCGAGAGCGCCGGCCCCGCCCCCGCCGTTCGCGCTCTGACCAGCCCGCAGAGTCAGCCCCCGACCCCGGGCCGCCCGGGCCCCAGGGTTCCGCCGGCAATCTGGCCACCACCGCGTGGGTGAGTATGGGCATGGGTGTGCTGGGCTGCCGGGCAGCCCCACTCAGGGGAGCTTGGCCGCGCGGTCCGGCCTCTGCAGGGCCGGGCCCCACGCTCTGGGAGTCCTGGTGCCTGCCCTGCTATCGCACACACTCTGTTTCCCAGGAACTGCTGCTGTCTGGACTTGCCGAGCTGGCCCCCTTCTTCTCCCTCCCCAGCATGGGGCCGGGTGTGCAGGGGTTGAGCTTTCCCTTCTTTATTCCACGGGGCCTCCTGGTCAGGAGCCCTAGGTGGGGAGGATGGGGCCCCAGGGTTGGAACCCCATAGACTAGTTTTGAATGGCAGCTCTGCCATTTATTAGCCTTGGCCTTGAGTGTTTTGAACCTCCCTGAGCCTCAGTTTCCTCATCTGTAAAATGGAAATATACAGGCTGTAGCACCTACCTCATAGAATTATGGTGAGGATTAAAAGAGACAATGTGTATCAAGTACAGAGCAGGGAGCCTAGTATTCCGTAGGCACTCAGTAAATGTGGGTTCAGACTCCAGGCTGAGAACATCTCTAGGGACTTTGGAGCTGAGGTAGCTCCAAAGAAAGCGATTTTCAGCTAAGTAGTACCTGTGAGGAATGTAGAGCTGTCTGCAGACTGAACAATTGCCCTTCAGCTCCACCGTGAGGTGTGGAGTAGAATGACCAAGTTGAAGGACCTTAGAGGTAATCTAAACCCTGTGATTCCCATGTTGCCGAACTGTGGAAACAGATCTAGAGTGGTTAAGTGGCTTGCCAAAGGTCACACAGCTAAATGGGAGGCCAGGCATACCTCCAAGAATTGGAATGGACTGTCCCTTGAACCTCCTCATCAACTCCTGATTTGGGCAGTGCCTCTTCATTCCCTGAAGATCTAGTTTTCAATTTGGGAATCCTAGTGGTTCCTCAGAGATCTAGAGCTGCAAGCTTCAGGGATGGATGTTGGGAGGGAAGACTAGTGCTACTGCAACTTCAGAGTCTAGTTTTGGGCTGAGTGAGGAAGATGTTCCCCATCTAGGGCCTTAAGGGACTCAGAGTCCATTTAGGGATGATCCAGGGAATTTTTTTTTTTTTTTTTTTTTTTTTTTCTGGGAGGGTCACCAGAGCCACTTCCAGCTCCCTGGGGAGATCCCTGATGCTCCTAAAAGGGAGATAGGAACTTGAGCAATTGGAGCAGGCTGCCTGATCAGGCCTGGCAGCTGGGGGAAAATGGGTGAGGATGTGGAGGCGTAGCCACCTGGCTCGTTCTGGAATGCTAGGATGCCAACCTAACTGAGATCAAGGTTCTTTTTGAGGGTGGGACTAAAGGGAGAGTCTTGTGGGTGGGGCCCGGAAGAGTTGGGACTTGATTTGACAAGGCCTTTGAGCCCAGAAGGGTATATTCGTTATGTGTCTGGAGCCAGCCCTAGCTTGGCAACAAGCAGCCAGCGTTCCAGGGATGGCTTCTCTCCAACTCAGCATAGGGCTTTGAGGAAGAACCTTTCTCTCTCTCTGAGTATCTTGGTTTCTCTATCTTTACAGTGGGAATAGGGCTAACTGCCTCATCTATGTAGAATTTGGTTTTTCCTTTTTTTCCTCCTGTGAACAGGCGCCTCTTCTGCCTCTCTCACTCCAGTCCTAACCTGACCTTTCTGTCTCAAGCTCAGACCCAGAGAGGAAGGGGTCAAGGAAGGCCAGAGTTGCAGTGTGTAACTCTTTGTGGGTCCCACATGTATCTGTTATGTGATCCTGAGAAGATTCCTGCCCCAACTTTCCCTTCTGTACACTGTGGGGAGCTGAGCTAGGATTGTTGGTATACACTTATTTGTTATAGTTCCTGACCTTAGCTACCCTTATCTAAGGGGGAAATCACAGTCCCCAGGAACCCTCATCTGTTCACAGGAGGGTGGTGTGGACAGCCCCCTGGGCACTGGGGAGCCTCCAGAAGCTGACCAAGCAGCTCTCTCCAGCAAACAGCAAGCCCAGGCTAGCACCAGACCTGATTCTGCAAAGCCTTTCATTCTCGGGGCACGTGAGAGAGCAGGTTGGGACAAGCAGAGGGCTCGGGGTTCTGTCCGCTTCCATGGAATCCCTGCCGCTGTGGACTGCGGTGCAGGCACACAGAGCACACAGAGCCTGGGAAGGGACTGAAGGTGCGGGAGGGCCCTGGGCCAGTGGGGAAGCAATGAGAGCTGATGAGAGGCCTTGAAGCCTGGAGGCTGGGCCTGAGGCTCAAAGGCCTGGGGGAGGAGATGGGCCATTCCATCCACTGGTAGGTTTTAGGGTTGGTTCTTGAAATAAGTAGAGACACTTAAAGCAACTTCTCTAGTCCTAGGCCTGTCAAGCTAGGCAGAGAGGAGTGAGGAGAAGCTCTCCCAATCCATTCAAGCTTTATCCTAGCACAGATTTGGTTCATTGTCTTCCCGCTGAAATTGAGGTGGAATGTTGTCTTTCAATTCTGAGTCAGTCTTCCTCATCCAGGGCAGGAGCTATCCAAGTTTAGGCAACTTCCTTCTCATACTCCCCACCCCATGGCACACAGCTAATTTTAGGACTGAGCACAAGGGCTGACTTCATCACTGAGTCCCAGCCTTGCTGCCTGGGGCCCTGACAGCATGCCACTCCATCCCCAGGTCTGACAAGATGTACCAGGTCCCACTGCCACTGGATCGGGATGGGACCCTGGTACGGCTCCGCTTCACCGTGGTGGCCCTGGTCACAGTCTGCTGTCCACTTGTCGCCTTCCTCTTCTGCATCCTCTGGTCCCTGCTCTTCCACTTCAAGGAGACAACGGCCACACACTGTGGGGTAGGGCATGGGGACACTGATACCTCATATTCAGGCCGATCTGGATCTTCTTTAGATCTTGAATATCTTTTAACAAGATTAGCCAGCTCTCCGTTGGGGCCCATCAAACATATGGGGCTGCTGGGGGGCTGCCTGCAAATTGAAATCTCAAGGGTTAGTCTCCCTCCGCCTTCTGTGAGGTTCTGGAGGCTGGAGTCACTGAAGTGTAATATAGAGTCAGTAAATGAATTATAACAGAGTTTGACACATGTCCCACCCCATTTACTTTGATATCCTAGAGAAAGGAGTCTCACATCTTTCTTCCTGCCCCACGCCCCATATCCCTGTCCAGAGGGCAGACCTAGAATCAAATCCTTACTTCATAGAAGAGCAGATTCTGGAACCCCAGGGTTTTCTGAGAAGTGGAGAGAGAACAGGATTGGGCTAGCGAGTATTTTGGGCCTCTTAATGTACCACTATGGGCTTCTGCCTGTCTGTAGGAATGTAATTCAGTATACGTGTGTGTGATTGTGAGGGTCATGACTGTTTGAGTGGGTTGTATGTGAGAGAGACTATATCTGTGCCTGTCTGTATGGAGATCTGATTATGTAAATGTGTATGTGTCTTGGGGTGAGTCCCATGGCCTCTAAGGTTCCATAGATGTCTGTGTACCCTCTGGACAGGGATATGGGGCGCTGGGCCGGGAAGAAAGATGTAAGACTACTTTCTCTAGGATATCAAAGTAAATGGGGTGGGACATGTGTCAAACTCTGTTATACTCGTAATTCATTTACTGACTCTTTATTACCTGAGACAGAGACCCAGCCTCAGTTTCCTCATGTCTGAAATATAATGGATTAGCTGGGCATGGGGGTGTGCACCTGTAGTCCTAGCTCCTTGGGAGCCTGAGGTGGGAGGATTGCTTGAGCCTAGAAGTCTGAGGCTGCAGCGAGCTATGGTTGTCTGACTGTACTTCAGCCTGGTGACAGTGAGACTCCCATCTCCAAAAAATAAAATAGGGTTGATAATTCCTGTCCTGCTCCTTCCCAGGTCTAGTGTAGAGCTCTAGGTAAGGAAGGATGGGAAGGTAGTTTAGGGAGGATGATGAAGTGTGAGGAGCAGAAGAAGGAGGAGGCGGAAGAGACTGTCAGGTTGGAAGGCAGGGCAGGAAATGAACTTAGCCTAGGGAGAGGCAGGTTCTGCATATGCATCTTTGGGGTCCCTCAGAGTTCTGAAGGCCCCAGCCAGCTGGATCTCCCCTTCATGTAAAGAGCATCTGCTTCAGAGAAATGACTAGGATTAGCAGTGTGGTCTAGCTGCGAGTATGGGGTGGAACCTCACTTCTTTTTTTTATGTGACTGGAGTTTCTGCTCCTCCTGATTTGTCAGTGGGTAGACATGGGTGTTGAGGTATGGACACCCAATCTGATGAGACCCGGGGCTGGGAGCTATTAGAAAGAACTGAAAGAAAAGGGCGAACAGGTAATCTGAAGGGAAGGATTACCCTTTCCTGACCTAGTGCTTATCTCAGATAATGCATCAGATGTTCCTGTTACGCTAGCCACTCCTGATCATCCTGCAAAACCCTGCCCAGCTAGCTCTAAAATGTCTTCCCTATCCTACTTGTGGCTAACTTAATCACTGTCTCCTCTGGGTGCCCACAGTTCCCTGTGTTATCTATCACATAATATTTGTATCTGTCTTCCCCACCAGATGGGAATCTCCTTGAGGGTGGGCACTGCATTTGAGTGAGAAAGTATTTGGGGTTTTTTTTTGTTTGTTTTAGAGGCAGGGTCTCATTCTGTCGCCCAGGCCAGAGTGCAGTGGCATATCATAGCTCACTGCAGCCTCAAACTCCTGGGATCAAGCAGTCTTCCTAACCTCAGCCTCCTGAGTAGCTAGGACTACAGGTGTGAGCCACCACACCCAGCTTAATTAAAAAAAAAAATTGTGGAGATGGGGTCTCGCCATGTTGCCTAGGCTGGAGTGCAGTGGCATGATCATAGCTCACTGCAGCCTCAACCACCAGGGCACAAGTAATCCTCCTGCCTCAGCCTCCTGAGTAGCTAGAACAATAGGTATGCACAACCATGCCCAGCTAATTTTTGTGTATGTGTGTGGAGATGGGGTCTCACACTGTTGCCCAGGCTGGTCTTGAACTACTGACCTCCAGCAATCCTCCCAAAGCACTGAGATTATAGGCATGAGCCACTGTGCCTGGCCAGAAAGTGTTGGTTGAATAAATGATTAGGACTCTCTAGCCCAGTGCCCTGGGGAAAGGAAGGGATGGTATAAGTCAATCATAGTCCAAGCAAAATTATAGTATTTGTATGGCATATGGAGTTAAACAGTCTAGGCTGTTTGCTCTGCCCCTTGTGGCTGACTCCAAGGGCTAATGGCATCAATAACCTTGGTTTATTAGCTAGGTTACTGCATACCTTGCATGCCTATTACCTGTTCTTGGTATACCAGTTAGGGAATTAAGACATAGATAGTTGCTGGAGTACTTGGTCCCTCTGGAGCAGTACTAGGTCTGTGACCCTGAGGGTATGTTGTCCCCACTCCCTGAGACTAGGGTGTTGGTTCCACCTTGGAATTTTTATATTTGCTCTGCATTTCCTACTCAGAGTATCTCAGAAATGGCCAGCCCTAGGAATAAAAGAAGCAAGCTAGTCCATCATATCTATAATTGATTACTTTGCCTCTGCTCACAGATCCCCAGTGATGGGGAGCTTCCTTCCTCCCCAGGTAGCCTGTTCTAAGGAAGCTTAATAACTAATAATTAGCCTTTTTCTTTTCTTTTCTTTTCTTTTTTTTTTTTTTTTTTACTGAGACAGAGTCTCACCCTGTTGCCCAGGCTTGAGTGCAGTGGCATGATTTTGGCTCACTGCAGCCTCCGCCTCTTGGGTTCAAGTGATTCTCCTGTCTCAGCCTCCCGAGTAGCTGGGATTACAGGCACCCGCCACCACACCTGGCTATTTTTGTATTTTTGGTATTGATGGGGTTTCACCATGTTGGCCAGGCTGGTCTCAAACTCCTGACCTCAGGTGATCCACCTGCCTTGGCCTCCCAAAGTGCTAGGATTAAAGGCGCGAGCCACCGTGCTCAGCCTCTTTTTTTTTTTTTTTTTTTCTTTTCTTTTCTTTCTTTCTTTTTTTAAATAGAGATAGGGTCTCACTATGTTGCCCAGGCTGGTCTTGAACTCCTGAGCTCAAGTGATCCTCCTGCCTCAGCCTTCCAGAGTGCTAGGATTACAGGCTTGAGCCACTGTGCCTAGCCCAAGCTTTTTCTTTCTTTCTTTCTTTCTTTCTTTCTTTCTTTCTTTCTTTCTTTTTTTTTTTTTTTTTTTGAGGCAGGGTCTTGCTCTGTTGCCCAGGCTGGAGTGCAGTGGCACGATCTCAGCTCACTGCAACCTCTGCCTCCTGGGTTCAAACCATTCTTATGCCTCAGCCTCCAGAGTAGCTGAGATTACAGGTATGCATCACCACACCTGGCTCATTTTTTGTATTTTTAGTAAAGACGGGGTTTCACTATCTTGGCCAGGCTGAGGCTTTTACTTATAGTGAGTATGTACCTACTTTCCCGTGAGTCTCTGCCTTGGCCCTGGCTCTTCTTTGATAGCTGTAGAACTATTCTCTCCTCATGGCTTCAGGTCAGCCCTGCAGAGACAAGAAGACAGTAATGAGGGGCCTCGAGTCTATCTTCTTTTTTTTTTTTTTTCTCCAGACGGAGTCTTGCTCTGTCACCCAGGCTGGAGTGCAATGGCGCGATCTCGGCTCACTGCAACCTTCTCCTCCCAGGTTCAAGAGATTCTCCTGTTTCAGGCTCCCGAGTAGCTGGGATTACAAGTGCATGCCACCATGCCTGGCTAACTTTTTGTATTTTAGTAGAGACAGGGTTTCACTGTGTTACCCAGGCTGGTCTTGAACTCCTGAGCTCAGGCAATCCAGTTCCTTCAGGCAACCTTCCCAGGACATGGTTTCTAGGCTCTTCCCTATCCTGAATGTACCCTTGAGCTTGACCCAGTTCGTCACTATTCTCTGCCGGGCCTTGATTTGGGTGTAGGACTCTAGGTGGCCTGGGCAGTAGAGACAAAAGCAGGACTATTAATTCTTTTTTTTTTTTTTTTTTTTGAGACAGAGTCTCGCTCTGTCGCCCAGGCTGGAGTGCAGTGGCCGGATCTCAGCTCACTGCAAGCTCCACCTCCCGGGTTTACGCCATTCTCCTGCCTCAGCCTCCCGAGTAGTTGAGACTACAGGCGCCCGCCACCTCGTCCGGCTAGTTTTTTTTGTATTTTTTAGTAGAGACGGGGTTTCACCGGGTTAGCCAGGATGGTCTCGATCTCCTGACCTTGTGATCCGCCCGTCTCGGCCTCCCAAAGTGCCGGGATTACAGGCTTGAGCCACCGCGCCCAGCCTCAGGACTATTCATTCTTATTCCTTTCTGTTAGACCTCTGTTGATGCAGTCTGAGCTGCCATTAGCTGTTTCTGCACAGGTGCAGGCTGAACATTTCTATCTCATATTTAGGCTTGTCGAGATCTCTTTTGTATCCTGCTTCTATTATCATAGGATTTAGCCATTTCTCCAGTGAGGCCCAACAGGCCTTCTCAGTCCTGCTCTAACAGAAAAGGGCCAGATCCCTCTTTGCTTTCTCTCTTTACCTTATTGGAAACCTGCCTGCATCCCTGGACATAACTCTCGGAAAGGTCCCTGCCCCCATCACTGGCAAAGAAGCTACTGCCAGCTGACCTCAGCCACTATCACATCTTACCTTTGCACAGTGTTCTAGGATTTATGACATATGCTTGTTGATCCTGGGAAGGATGTGTGCCTGGGCAGGCGTGGAGAATTGAGTACTGTGGGCGGGAGGGCAGGCCCTGAGGAACAGGGGGTGGGACCCTCCAGTCTTAGAATAGTCCCAGTCTGGCTACAACCTTCAACCCAAGACCCAGATTCTTCAGCACCGAGTGTGAGTGTTGCTTCGTGAGGCCCCCACCCCGACCCCATTCCTGGGTCTCCTT